TGGGGGGGGGAATTGCAAATAAAGGACTGATACCCAGAATGTACAAAGAACTCTTGCAGTTCAATAATAAAAAGACAAATAACCTAGTTTTAAAGTGGGCAGAAGATCTGAACAAACACATCTTAAAGAAGATACACAGGTGGCCAATAAGCACAGGAGAAGATGCTCACAATTAGCCATCAGGAAAACACAAACGAAAGGCACAGTGAGATACCACCTCACCCTCACTGGGAGGGCTGCAATAAAGAAAAAATCATAAGTGTTGACAAGGAGGTGGAGAACTGAGAACCTTCAGACGCTCTTGCAAAAAATGTAATAGTACAGCTGCTTTGGGAAACATCCTGACTTCAAAAAATTAGGCATATAGTTACCATGTGACCTAACAATCCCACTCCTAGATATATACCCAAGAGGGTGAAAACATGTTCCCGCAAAAACTTGTACATGAACATGCATAGCAGCATTATTCATAACAGCCCAAATGTCTTATTAATATATAAAAATGCATAAATAAAGGAGGGCATAGCCGTCCACTGGAATATTATTCAGCCATGTAAAGAAATGAAATACTGATACATGCTACCACATGGATGGACCTTGAAAACATGCTAAGCAAAGAAAACCAAACACGAAAGGCCACATACTGCTCATTTCATTTATATGAAGTTCCCAGAGCAGACAAAACTCATAGAGACATAAAGTATACTAGTGAATGCCTAGGGCTGTGGGCCCGGGGAATGACTGTGTATGGGCCCGTGGTTTCTCCTTCGGGTAAGGAAAATACTCTAAAATTGACTGAGATGGTTGCATATCTGTGAATATACTAAAAACCGTTGAAGTGTACACTTTGGGTGAATTTTATAGTATGTTCATTATATCTCAAAGCTGTTACACAAAAAAGGATGTGTAACTAGAATTCCAAAGTTTAGAATGCATAGAATTCCTTTTAAGCATTAAGATGCTCCATATCTGTGAAAGAATTGACGATATAAAAGACTAAACCCTCATCAATATGAACACACATTTGCTGAGCTAGGAATTCTACAGAGCTATGCTGCTCAATACAGCAGCTACTAGCCAAATTTGCATTTACATTTATTAAAAATATTACATTTATTAAACTTGCATTAAACGTATTAAAACTAAATAGAACTTAAAATTCTGTCCCTCACAGTTCAAATACTTGCTAGCCAAGCGTGGCTAGTGGCTACTCTATCAGACAGTGTCGATCACAGGATATTTACATCATTGCAGAAAGTTCTGGAGCTGCATTGACACCTGGTCCGAATAGCATTAGGAAGCACCTTGGGAGAAAAGTGAGCGCCCAGAATGGGTTGGAGCGAATTCCATTCTAGGCAGCGACTCTATTCACTTCCTAGAATGGAATTTATCGGTTATAGGACTTTGCTCACAACTGACACGTTAAATATTTGTTGATTAGCAAATAAATACAATTCTTTTTTTTCCTTTACACAGATCGACCACTCTGATATTATAAAGAACAGATACTCAGACTGGCCTGCAGAAATACAGCTAGAAGGCTGCATACCGAAAGTACCAAGCTAACATTACGGAGACTTAATAAATATGTATTTTTATAGACAAATGAATCATGGAACCGAATAGTATTAGGAAGCACCTTGGGAGAAAAGTGAGCGCCCAGAATGGGTTGGAGCGAATTCCATTCTAGGCAGCGACTCTATTCACTTCCTAGAATGGAATTTATCGGTTATAGGACTTTGCTCACAACTGACACGTTAAATATTTGTTGATTAGCAAATAAATACAATTCTTTTTTTTCCTTTACACAGATCGACCACTCTGATATTATAAAGAACAGATACTCAGACTGGCCTGCAGAAATACAGCTAGAAGGCTGCATACCGAAAGTACCAAGCTAACATTACGGAGACTTAATAAATATGTATTTTTATAGACAAATGAATCATGGAACCGAATAGTATTAGGAAGCACCTTGGGAGAAAAGTGAGCGCCCAGAATGGGTTGGAGCGAATTCCATTCTAGGCAGCGACTCTATTCACTTCCTAGAATGGAATTTATCGGTTATAGGACTTTGCTCACAACTGACACGTTAAATATTTGTTGATTAGCAAATAAATACAATTCTTTTTTTTCCTTTACACAGATCGACCACTCTGATATTATAAAGAACAGATACTCAGACTGGCCTGCAGAAATACAGCTAGAAGGCTGCATACCGAAAGTACCAAGCTAACATTACGGAGACTTAATAAATATGTATTTTTATAGACAAATGAATCATGGAACCGAATAGTATTAGGAAGCACCTTGGGAGAAAAGTGAGCGCCCAGAATGGGTTGGAGCGAATTCCATTCTAGGCAGCGACTCTATTCACTTCCTAGAATGGAATTTATCTGTTATAGGACTTTGCTCATAACTGACAGGCCCATGAATATTATCCAACAGCCAATATTTGATTTTATGGGTTTTGTCGTCAACCAACCAATATTTGCTCGATGTATGAAACCTTTGCACACCCTATTTTTATGTCAATATTTATACAGTGAAGATATCAATGAGCAGGAAGACAGGAATGGATGGAAATTGTCAAATGAAGGGGTTTAACCTGGAAAAGAGAGGACTGGGGAAGCACCCACTGCTTGTCCAGGCGTAGAGTCATCTTGTGGTGGAATCTGAGCGTGACCCCTTAGTCCAGACGCCCCGCAGGCAGAGCCTTCGTTCCACTCACGCCCGGCGCACTCCCTGGAGGCGCAGGCCTCGCCCAGGAAGAGCAGCGCTGAGAGGGCTGGTGAGCCCGGGACACACCAAGGAGTCCTGTGTTTTTTTACAAAGGTGGGCGGGGCTGAATTTATTTTTATTTCTTTTTTTTACTCGGGCTGAAATTCCTGCATTTTCACAGCAGTGTTGAACTTCATTCACTGCAGTGGTGAAGCCCCAGGAGCCCTTCCCCGAGCACCGAGCGCTGAGACTCATTCCTGGGCGCAGCACTGCGGGGAGCCTGGAACATCTTTGCTCCCAGCCTCCTGCTCACCGGCAACGCTTGGGGTGCTTCAAAAAATAAAGACCCTTACTAAAAACGTCTCCCTCGGTGGTGGCCTGGGTGACATTTCTTTTCCAGATTTGTGTTTTCTACCTAAATTTTCATTGTATTCCATTAAGTAAACTGGCGCTCAGTAGAATGGCTTCTGCATATGACCCATTTTGAGATTTCTCACCTGCGTTACTGGTGTGCAGTGTAGGCATTGTCACAATGACTTCTTTTAGCAGGTCACATCTGACATTCCTGAATACAGCCTTGGGACACTATCCTGACACCATTATCACCCCTGCTCGGGGCTTCTGCCTTCAGAGCCTGGGGAACACTAAGGGGGTGAGGGTGTCCCCCCACCTCCTCTCTGTGCCCACCCCTTACTGGGAGCCCTTTGGCCCTCTCTGGCCAGGCAGGAGTCAGGGGTGGTAACTGGTCCCTTTTCTGGGTTCCGGACCCCCCGAGTGTCCAGCTGGAGAGCATGAGTGCCCTCGCTGGAAAGGCAGCAGGCTGGGCCTGCAGAGAGCAGGATGCCAGGGGCCTGCACAGAGCAGGGTGCCAGGGACCGGGGGAGAGGCGGAACAGACAGAGCACAGAGGATGTTCGGGGCTGGGGCTCTGGAGAGGCACGGTCAGTACTGGATCCTGCAGCACTGACCATGAAGACCCCCTCTACCTCCTAATGCCAGGGTTTTAAAAACATTTTCTAAGCATCTTAATTCCTTTAAAGGAAAATTTGCCCACAAGGGCAGTAAGTAAAATGGATGAGCAAAGAGATGCTCAAGATTGTTTTTTGTTAATTCAGAATGTTTTGGAAAAGATGGTGGGCGTGGAAACAAGACTGAGGCCTGGGCTTCCTCCACTCCCATCACAGAGGCGGGGAGCCTTTGGGACGGGGAGGGGGGCACTCCTGCCTTTTGGCAGGTGAAGTAACTGAAGACCAGAAGATCATGCAGACTCAGGAAGGAGTTAGGGTTAGGGTTAGATTTGGAGTTACTGGGCTAGAGCCCAGGGTTCAGCCTGGGCCCCCCCATTTCCTGCCCCACCCAGCAGAGCTCACAGAGCATGAATTCTCTGGGGCCTGGAAACTATCCCTGAGGGGGAAACACATTGCACGAATGGGGTATTGGGGGAATCTATGCAATTCCCCCTCTTTGGATATTCAGTGCTTACCATGGGAGAAGGTGGCAGAGGGTGACATCTGTCTGCTGTGGCTCAGGCACCTCAGAACTTTCAAATCATATACTCGAATAAACATCCTGTGCCCTGGGAGGTCCAGAATGGGAGTCACACAGCCGGTGGCTATTTAAATTAATTTGAAGAAAACAGAGTCAAACGCTCAGTTCCTCGGTTGCACAAGCCACATTTCAAGTGCTCAGTGACATCACGTGGCTCGTGTAGGACAGCAGAGAACAGAACATGTCCACAATCTCAGAAAGTCCCCTGGGACCTCGCTGCTCTAAACCACTGGCACCCCCAGTGTGGCAGGAGGGCAGCCTCCTCTGCAGACTTGTTTGCAATGCAGATGATGGCCACCCCGAGCCCCAGCATCCGGTCAGGGGGGGCCCAGCCCTTCCTTCACAGTGCACAGGCCCCCACCCCCAAGGGGCTCCTACAGAACCAGTGCAAATGTCAGCTGGAACATTTTGATCCTTTAGTTTCATTTCTGTGGCCAGGACCACTGGTTTCGTTTCCCTGGCTGTTGGGGAAGAAAAATAGCGGAGAGGCGTGGTTCACACACCAAATAAAAGGAAGCCTTGGAAGGGAGAGGGGTGATTTGTGGCGTCTCAGTCCTGAAGGCTCGCAGGTAAGTGCTGGGCCAGGCGGGAGGGCTGCCTTAGGATGCATTAAGGAAACACACGTGACTTTCCAAGCATTTTTCTGATAAACCTGGCTGGTGCCAGGAGGCAGGAGCCATAAAGATACGTTTCTGATGCTGCCCTTAAGCCCCAGGTTGGTGCTCGCCCCCCACCAGCCCTGCTCCCTGAGGACACATTCTAGAAAGGAGTGACTGCTCAGGGAGCCCAGGGTGGCCCCGTTTCCAGAATCTAGCTAAAGGCCTTGTGGCCACGAAGGGCTGGCTTTGGGGGACACCTCTGAGCAGCGTTTGTGAAGTGCACGCATCGGGGTTGGGGTGGGAGCTTTGTGCCTGTGTGACAGATCCTGTGATTTGCAGCAAGAAATATACTAACCGCAGTCACCACGCTGTGCGTTCCACCCCGTAGTTAATAATACCGTATTGAGGTTTTGAAAGTTGCTAAGAGAATAGATCTTAAAAGTCCTCATCACAAGGGAAGGATGTTGCAGCTGTGTATGGGGATGGATGTTAGCTGGACTTACTGTGGTGATTATTCGCAATAAATACAAATATTGAAAAAAGAAAGAAATACAGTATATTTTTTGGTCTTTGTCTGCGTTCCTGTCGCAGGGCTCCTCAAACCCTAGGCATTTCCTAAGTGTAGACTGTTGTTGTTTGTTTTGTTAGTGAGGTCATGTTTGGACTGCGCCTGGATTGGAGCTGGTCCCTGGGGGGGCGGACAGGCGGGGAGGAAACAAGTCCTGTGATTAGAGGGTTGTAACTCTCAGCTGCACCCCCAACCTCCAGGGAAGGGGGAATCATCCACCAATGATCTGCAGGTTGAATCAATCCCCATGGCCAGTGCCTTAATCATTGATGCCTCTGTGTTGAAACCTCCATAAACCCCCAAAGGGTGGGGTTCGGGGAGCTTCTTGGTTAGTGAGGGTGTGGAGATTTGGAGAGAGCCGTGACTGTGGAAAGGGGGTGGGAGGTCTGCGCCCTTTCCCTGCCCTCCTGCCCTGTGTGGCTTTTCTGTCTGGCTGTCCCTGAGTTACATCTTTTCTAATAAACCGGTGACCTGGTGAGTAACATGTTTCTCTGAGTTCCCTGAGCCACTGTTAGCAAGTATTCAGAACCGAGGAGGGGTGGTTGGAACCTCTGATCTATAGCCAGTTGGTTGGGAGCACAGGTGACAACCTGGACCTGCCCTTGGCCTCTGCAGTGGGTGGGATGGGGCATGGGCAGGAACAGTCCTGTGGCATCCAAGGCCATCTCCAGGCAGGCAGCCCTGATGCAGTGGGAGAAAACATGTGGGAGCTGGTGTCAGACTTGGAGCCCAGAGCCTGGTCGGGGCTTCAGGCACCCTCTTCACCCTCTTGCTGTGGTGCTGGTGGCACTGGGCCACCCTCAGTGTTGTGCTGGAAAACTCACTCTCCTAAGTGGACAAGGCACTGATTTCTGTCACTTGCTAATGTCCTATTATACTACATGTTAAATTATTAGCCTCCAGATTTTTACTTGGAGACACTGATGCCAAGTCTTCCCAGCAAACAGCGGCATTTGGGGGGAACAGGTTAGGTATAAACCACAGAGGGTTAGTGTCCTAAGGCTGCTGTGACAAAGTGTCACAACTCGGTGGCTTAAACATTAGAAACGTATTTTCTCCCAGCTCTGGAGGCTGGAGGCCTGAGACCAAGGTTTTGGTGGGGTTGGTTCCCTCCAGAACTCTTCAGAGAGTCCTTCCTTGTCTCGCCAGCAATCCTTGGCATCATTTGGGGAGAATATCTCCAGGTGCCGTGGTGGCCTCTTCAGGTCATGCCACCAGCAAAAGAAGAAATGCAGGCCACACAGTCCCCCAGACTTACGGCCAATTCCGGCAGATTTCACAGGACAGGCAGACAGCTGTTCCGCTGCTCTTCACCACGAACCATGGGGTTTAGCAGAGGACAGGTTTCCCCTCAGAGCCGTGATTAATCACGTCTCCTTCCTCTTTCCTGGAAACTGTGGTGACATCTCAGTGAGCCAGATTTTCATTGTTGTTTTCTGCTTCTAGGGGAAACAAATTCCTAATTAGTAGTCAAGGAGGCAAAATGTCCCCACAGGCCTGTCTGAGAGACCCTACAGATTCAGCACAGATGCCAGGTCAGGGGAAGGAACATTCTTTTTTATGTGTTTGTTTTTGTTTTGTTTTTAAATATATTTTTATTGATTTCAGAGAGAGGAAGGGAGAGAGAGGGAGAGAGAGAGAGAGAAACATCAATGATGAGAGAGTCATGGATCGGCTGCCTCCTGCACGCCCCCCACTGGGGACTGAGCCCGCAACCCGGGCATGTGCCCTGACCGGGAATCGAACCTCTATCTCCTGGATCCTAGGTTGATGCTCAACTGCTGAGGGAACGTTTTTAATTCATGGCAGTCCTCTCCCCTTAGAGAACTGTGGGCTCCTCAGCAGACCTGGGGCCTGCGCATGTCCAGGAGGCCAGGCAGGCCTGGGAGTGGATTCAGGCCTCTCCGACCTCCCAAGACTCCTCGGGGGCCCAGTGAAGCCTGTGGGAAGCTCAGAACACAAAAGAGTCAAAACGGGTCCAAAGGGAGAGGCTCTGGGCGGAGGAGTGAGGGTGGGGGCGGGTCTTGCAGCCTGCATCTCTGTGACCCATCAGCCACGGAGGGCACTGCCATGCAGCTCTGAACCCTGAGCAGCTTTACTGGTTCCTCCCATCAAATAACAGATTCTTCACTGGCATCTGAGGCTGTGGCCTTCCCGCTGGGGGGGGCGGGGGGGCGGC